ATATGTATCGAACACATAGAGTGCCCCTATGCTATGTATTTTTGTTGGTGTTTCTGCTAACTAAATAAAGCAGAAAGTGCGCAAATATATTTGTTCGATTTGTATTTGTTTTACCTTGATTTCGGTGGAGCAGAAGGCACCCAAACCGATGGCTCCGCCCCAAACATGGCTCTGCCATTTGTAGTATTTGTTATCTTTCGGTTTAATATTTTTATGTTTTTTTTATATATATTATTTTTTGGCGTATGGCTGTGCTCCTCCCGCACACAGAAACCAACGTGTGGCCCCTCGCACATCTCGTTCCCACCCACAGACGCTAGTCGGGGGCCACCAATTGGGGGTTCCACTGTGGGGCCGGCTCCTCCCACACGACAATGGGGCAATCCAATCACCGCTCACTCGCCACTGCGCATGGTGGGGTTGTGCGAGGAGTAGGAGAAGGAGGGGTGCTGCTGCTGGGGCGGGGAGGGAGTGGGAGTGGTGACTGCGATTGCGCCTTTGTTTTCAGTGATAATAAATCTTTATCGGGGCAAGGCAATGGTTGCTTATCTGGCCACGAATCGAAAATCAATCGATTCAATCGAGTTTCGTTTGTTTGGTAATTAGCTTTTGGACACTCGTTTGTTGTTCTTTCTCTTTGGCTCTGGCTCTGCCTCTCTTTAATTTTTCTTTTTCATTTTCTATTTATTTTTAGGTTTTCTGTTGTCTCTGTTTGTCTAGCTGTTTTGAGAAGGGTTAGGAAAATATGGGAATTGTTATAAATAAACGGAAATCGGGTCAATGGGTTTAATTGAAATGCCTGCAAAATCGATGTGTGCATTGCAGATTAAAGGTGGATAAATAATACCCAGACTAGGAAAATGTTGAGTAAGTTTCCGATCGAAGGTAAATACATATATTTCCGCTACTGATACTTTAATTCATTGAATTTAAAGTTAATTTAATGGTGAATCAACCCCTAAGCACTTCCAATGATCTCCAAACCCAAACATAGAGTAGTTCCTGCCACCACAAATGTGTGACTATTAAATAAATAAATAATACTGCAGTTACAGTTACAGTTACGAGCGGGAAATATTCATATCTGAAAGTTTATCTCTCTCTCCCTGCGTATGGGCAAAGGTAGTCCCGGCAAACAGAACGCAAAGAAGTCGTAAACATAATTACAACTTATCAATAAATGCGAGCACTAACCCGGCAGACTTTGTGTCGCCATCCACATACTTCCCATTCCCTTTTTCTACGTACTCTACGGAGTAAGTACATTTCTTTGCCCTGCTCCCTGCTACATGCTCTGTTTACATTGTGTGGTCGATCGGTCGGTCGTGTTGTAAATTATACAAATAAGTATCGATCACCTACCAAGTGAGTAGTTTCATTCGATCAATTGAAAGCTAAAGTTTGATGTGTAGAAATCTTAAATGAAATAATAGATGCTTGAAAATATTAACAAGTGTTCCATTCTTGGTCTTGCCAATTATACATTTTTTAATCATTGTCTTTAGCTGAAAACATTCCGTTGTAAAGCTTAGGAAGAGCTTAATTTCCCAGAGGAGCTATAAGGATCGCCTGCAGATCGCAGATACCATGTATTTGGGCATGCAGGAACCCGTACAGTGTCAATAATTACAATACAAATTGCTGTTTGTATAAATCGTGTCATAAATATTTATATGTGCACACGAGAATTTCCCATTTACGTTTTCTCTTTCGAACTGTGGTGCAAGGCAGCAGTTCTACTAGTCCAATGGTTTACACGGACTGTGGGGGGAGTTGGTAGTGCTGTGGGTGCTATAAAACCAGAGTTTTATTTCAATCTGCCGCCTCTAGGTTAAATATATGGGCCTATCGATGGCACAGCATAATCGATCTGTGACCCACCATCGCGGACCGAGGCTCTGATGATTAGATAAGAACCGACCCGACCCCCATCCAGAGGATAGGAGGCTCGTCCCCAAACCCAAGTGTACACTCTTTCCACGGTTCAAATTCAGTCAAAGTAGATCCAGAGGCTACTTCATCCTGTTGGGTGCATCTAGAACCCAGAGCGACCCACACGAGCGCAGCAACTATCGATCTATAAAGTGGCACTAAATCAACAATAACAAACACACCGAACACCGAGCAAGAGTAAGAGCTATAAATAAATTATTTATAGCTTCGGTGGTGGAATGAATATTGCCACCACACAGAGGTATGGACATATAATACGAGTAGATGGATGGATCGCTGGCTGGTATCGGCTCCCCGTCTCCATAGGCTCTTCGGCACGGGTATCGGCTATGATGGTTACATAGGCCACAGACGGAGGCGGAATGCACTCCCAATGTTCGTCCCAAAAGCGAACAAACGAAACGAAAATTGCTTAGATAACCGATTGTTGATTGTTGAGTGTGTGTGTTGATAACTGATAGCCATGTTATTATTAAGGGCTATTAAAATTCTGATTGAAAATTCATGTCAAAAATATATTTTATTATCCATTGTAAAAAGTTCAGTTCATGATTAAAACCAGGCAATATACATAGGAAATCCAATCGCTTTCCGTATCGTTTCGTATTGGGATTCAATCGCATCGCATTCTGCCTACATTTCTATGGGCAGGAGGCGATAGCATTCTCAAATAAAAACCTGAGCTAAACAGTTATCAGACTACCGACCAAACGTATATATGATGTCTGACTTTAACACACATTGTAAGCTCCGTTATGGGTTATGATTTTATCAGAGAACTATTAAATGTCAGAAGATATTGTACACTTTTAGGGAACATTTTTAATTTCGATGAATGAAACTTTGGAGAATTATCAGAGATCTTCATTAGATCACTCCCTTACTGGTATAATTATAGCAATTTACTAGACATAGTTTATCCCAAAAAATTGGCACGTAGCCTAAGACCAATTTCCCCCCACAAACATCTTAATCTCTTCCCTAGATGCACGTTCTTTCAGATCTTAATGGATGCACGTCACTCTGTAAAGATTGTGCATGTCAGCCAGATTTGTAGTTCTCTAATTGGATCTTTGGCGGAGTGACAGTGGGGAGAATGGAACCAATTCGGTAGGGGAATCGGAACCAGAGCAGAGCTCATTTTGTTCACACTCCAGCACTCCAAACCTCGCTGGACTAAATTTAGTGTGTAATTCTTTAAATCGTTGCCATGTGTTGGCCAAAACTAAGTGACACAAATACGCCCCGAAGCTGGGATCTGGAACGGGAGCCGCCGGGAAATATTCAAATCTGTGACGAAAACATGGGGGAAGGGACGCACTCGTAACACTTATTTATGTGCCTGTTGAAATGGGAACATTAGCTCTGTGTGTTTGTAAATATTTGTCATAATTCCGAGATGGGGAACGACGACAACATCGAGACGACATGTGCGTCGATGCACCAGACGCCGTCTCTCTTTATTTGGGGGAGAGATCTGGAGTTGCCACGGCCACTGCCACTGGATATTTGTACTCGGAGTTGTGCTTTTAATGTCGCAATTAAATGCATGAGTTTTTAAAAATTAGATGCCCGTCAAAAATGTCTGATTTATGGGAGACAAAAAGCTTTGTTCAAAAGAAAAACAGTCCCCCAATGAAGCTTAAAAACTAAGAAAAAAACGATTGGGGTTGCATTATAAACGGATCTGTAAAGATCCATGAGAAATCTGTGACTTGTTGTGCGGTAATTCTCATCATCAATGTGAAGAGCTAGCATTCAGGGAAATATAAATTGAGGGTGCGGCTTTTTAGGTCAATCTGAAGGAATCCCATGTGCTGCCATTTCCCCCCAACATATCTGGGATATCAAAATTATTGATGCAACTATTAATATTCGTAAAACGAAGAGATTCAACTGAAAGTTTGCTCATACCAAGTGCAACTTTTAATGTTTGGAAATAACTTAATTAAGTTAAGTTATATTTATGTTAAAACTTTTCATAGATCCTCCATTTTAAACGCCACTTCTTCCTATCTGTAAGAACTTTTAATCAGAAAAAACCGTATTGAAAAGATGTGTAAATAGAGTCTTTGAAATGACTCTCCCTAGTACTATTATTATCCACCTCCCATCACCATTCCCGTTGATGTTCTCCCAACTAAAATCACTTAGCCGACCGTTTTTATCGAGGAAGGAAACCCATTGAATCCACCTCGTTTTATGGGGGAAGGAAAAGGAAACCATTTGATGTTATGGCCAGAAACCAATCGCGAATGCCAACTCAAAGTCACACACAAAGCGAAAAGGTAATTGGGGGATAGAAATGCTTTGCCATGAGGCTATGTACAGTGTGAAAGTTTTTGCGGTGTGGTGGTGGCACAACACTTGAGTGGAACCGTGGAAGCACTTCAAAATGAAATGGCGTGGAGCACTTCAACTGCTGGAAGACAACAGCGATTACCACAAATCGATGGATGGCCACGAAAGATCGAGCCGCCCACTGTCCCCCGCCCACCCATTGTTGAATGAAGGTAAAACCAAAGGCCAACAAACACGCACATGCCCCCCAACCCGAACCCTTGTACGATCCAGAGCGAAACCATTGTTCGTTGTTCGTTCTGGCGGCGCATTGATTTTTGAACGAATCAAAGCGGTATGCGCACTAAAAATACCAACAACAGCAGCAGCAGCAACAACAGCAACAGGCATACCAAATCCAGATTAAGCTCGAAAGTCTGAAAAGAAAAGTGGGCGTGGCCTCAGTTTCCAACTCAAATAAGGGGGTGATAGAGCGAGACAACACCCGAGTGCTAAAGCAAGAGCAGGACAGAGGGAGAGTGAGAGCATAAAAACCGCCAGCAATATGGTGGTTGTGTTTTTCAATTCCATTTCGTTTCCCACTGTCGCAACGTGTGTTCCGTTTCACTCGCACCCATCTCGCTCTCTCTGGTTCTCTCTTGGGTTTCTCTTTTCCATTCAAGGCAGCGGACAGAATAAACGTTACACTCGGGCGGAAACCAAACCGAAACCACCGAACCACCGTTAATCGCGCCCGCTCTCTCTCATCGTTAACAGCACTGCGACGCGACGCAACGCAAGGCAACGGTACACGACGCTGCTGACCAAATCCAGATTTCTTCCAATCTTGGCGAAATCGCAATCGAGAATTCAGCGAGCGAGCGTCGGTCGTGTGGTGTTCCGATAAACGTTCCGGACAGAAAGTCAAGTGCACAAATCCGACGTCGAAACACAGATTCACTCTCAGTCCAGGCGCCGGCGTCAGCAGAAGCAGAAGCAACAACAGCAGCAGCATTGAGAGCGTTTTCCACTCTGGATTCCACTCTGACTTCGACTCGGACTCGGAATTGTGGCCGTGATTAGGTTTTACAGTTTAGTCCGCTCGATGACGCCGAACCCAACAGTAGTTCCTCCAATGGCCAGCAGCAGCAGCTGAAGCTGAACAAAAATCTGTGACACTTCCTCCTCAATCGTGCGCGTGAACAGAACAGACCGCTTCCGTATCCGTATCCCGTATTCGCACCCAATCCGTGGTCCCATGCCGTCGCGTAAACTCCAATCAGTTGCAGTGCACAAGCCAAAGAAGAACCAAAGTTAGGATCTAAGATTAGTTCCAAAAATATATATTTAAAAAAAACTGAATCAGTGCCCAAGATGGACGTGGCCAAGCTGCAAGCGAATCCAGGCCAGCATCTACTGCATCCAGCTGCCTCAGCGGCACCTCCTGCCCATCAGCACCACCTGCCTCTCGACTACAGTTTGGGTAACTTTAAGCCTGCCATTGCCGCCGACTTTCCCGGCAATCCCTTCCTGGCTAGTCCGCAGCAGCAACAGCAACAGCAGCAGCAGCAGCAATCGTCTTCGTCAACATCTTCCTCCTCTACATCGTCCATCGCATCGCTGCAGGTCCGCGATCTAAGTGCGTTGACCGCAATGGCCACGATACCCTCGCCCACCCAGCTGCTCCACCAGCGGATGCAGCAGGCCCAAATCTCGGTGGACGCCGCTCTGGGGCACCACCAGCACCAGCAGCAGCAGCCCACCCACTCGCACTCGCACCCACAGCAACAGCCCCAGATGCCGCCGGCATCAACATCGCCTCGAGACTACGCGCCCATGTCTGCCTTCAAGGCGGTGCTACCCAAGAAGCGTACTCCCGACGGTAAGTACAAAGGGAAAGGGATTTCATTTTTTAATTTAACAAAGAGTTAAAAGTGTGTGTGTGTGTGTCTGCGTGTGATAATATTGAATACAAATGGATCAAAGAAGTTCATTATAGGAATATTATGTATAACTTTAGATCTGAATCAAAGGTGGAAACAAATCAATGAGTTGATTGATAGGTCCAGTAATGGTCTAAATCTTTATAAAAAAAGGTGATTAACAATAAGTGTAACAGATCCAACGGAGTAAAACCTTATAAAATATCTTTTGGATTGACCAGAGTTATATAATTATTCAAGTTTTCCTATTATTATTATTTATTTTGATATATCCATTACCAGTTTTTATAAACCAATCTTTATACCTATTTTATGTATGTACATTATACAAATGTAAAGATTATCTTCCATGAAATAATCAAATCAATTTTTGTAAGCTTTTTGATAAGTTTCTTGGGAATTCAGTTAAGTTAAACTCATCTTCAAATCGATTTTGTTGATATTTAACTTGTTTCTTTAAATTTGATAAGGAATTCATTAATAAATCCTTTTCCACGATTATTATCATCAAATGATTTAAATAAATAGTCATCTAAATGATAAAGTTGCAAATAGTTTTAAAATCAAGGAACACACAATTATAGCTGAAAGATCCAGCGTATAAGTATTCCCACAATATAATCGGCATACAAAATTTCCAATATTCATTTGTTCAGCCCACAACAAGGTTCCATCCAGACCAGACCAGACCCATATTCCCCAAGTTAATTACAACAAAAACAGAAAAAGCAAACCATGAAACATGACTCCAAAAAGAGCTGCGACAAAATCCCCCGAACATGCAAGGCCAGAAAATGTTAAAAATGTATTTGAATAATGTGTGATTTTAAAATATTGCATTGCGTCCGTGTGTGTCCACTGTGTGTGTGTGTGGCAGTGGCAGTGTCCATTTCAATGGTCATCCAGCCAGCAGTCATCCAGCGAGAGCTTCCACGGTGTTCGTTTAATTGGAAAAAACCCCAAGTCCAGTTGGTGGGAAAAACGTGAAAAACAAGAGCAGGGAAAGCTGCTGGAGGGGGATGGAGAGGAGGATGGCAAATATTCATTATTCCGTTTATATGGGTGAGAGTATATCAGCGTGTGTGTGGCTGTGTGTCTGTGTTGGGGCGCTTAATGTGCAAATCTTCTGGGCGGACATTGGGGCGTACAAATGGATATCGGGGATTGAAAAATCCATAGCTGAACCACAGATACACAGATACCAGATACGGGGCTGGCTGGCCAGAAAATAAACGGACAAAACACGGTCCAGTTGGGTGGGTGTGGGGTATGGGTGTGTGCGTGTCCGTATCTGTGTGTGAGAGGCAGACGCCGTTGTCATCGCCATCGCAGTTGAATTTCAAATATGAGCATTGAATGAGTGAATGAATGAATGAATGAGTGTATGTCAGAGTGTGTGTGTGCTCTCTCTCTCTTTCTCTTTCTCTTTCATTCTCTCACACACTCACACATGTACAGATCCAACGGAGTGTGGCACCCGTGGCAGACACAAGCGGATTTCATTTACCGGCATTACATGTATCCCACGGATATGTTTTTAGCTCTGCCTCTCTCCACGTTGTTTTGGGCCAGACATGGATATGCGGGAAAGCACAATCTCTCTCACACACACACACACATACACACATACACACCTATACATTTGCACTGAATTTTCAATTCCGTTTGCCGCGACATGCTTTCCTCTGACACTTTTCCTCTTCCTCGGTCTCTTTTTTTCTTTTGCCTGTGTGTTGGTTTCATTCTCTAGCGAAAATGAATTTCGCTTTGTTTGTTGAAATATTTTTTCCTTCTTTCTTTTTGATTTTTTGTTGTGGAAAATATTGGTTACCTTCTCCATGGGATCCAATGGTGACTGATTGGCCCCCAGTCCTGCCGGTGGAAATCTCTATGGCTTTAACTGGAAATCCCAGTAACTTGATTACTTTTAAAGAATTCTGCATCATATGAGGGCCTCTTGAATGTGTGCTACGTACAATTTATGAGTGTGGGACTTTAATTGTGCAAATAAGATTGTTCCCAGAGTATGAAACTAATAATGTTATCTCCCACATAATTACACAACCTTGCCCCCGGGGAGGTCAATCGAATACGCCCCACACCCATCCATGTGTGTCTGTGGGATCATCTTGAGTGTTTGTCATGCTCGTTCTAGTACGCCTTCTAGTGAGTGACTCAATTAATAAAGACTCTTCTCTAATGCTTCGGACACACTTTGACACCGTCGCGAGTTGCGACGACGTGTGTGACTCACGAATTAAGTTAAATTATGAATATTTCTGAGACCCCAGACTAAATGACAACTAATAGTCTGCGCAGGTCATAGGTTAAATGGCTGGAAGAACACAAATTAGTTGAATGGAGACCACAGCATAGCATTGATTCATAGATACAAAGTACTGGCATACTTTCCGAATGATATCAGACCAGAAAAATCAGAACGGGGCTGCCTTGGAAATCAGAAGTACATTCGCGCCCATAAATAATATTCATGATTTACTGTGACTCCGACTATCGGCCCATAGATGTGTTATAAACCTTATATATGGTGCACCGAATTCATCGATATAAATTCAATAATAAATTTGTTAAGCCATTTTCAATCACACCAAACAATTGAACAGCGATTCGAATCAATTAAAAGGGCAATCGAAATATTCTATCGAATAAATAAGCCAAAACAACGCTTGCCAATCCTACACACACACACACACACACAGTGCCACGTACAAGTATGCATACAACAGTTTTTTCAAGAGGTTTGCTAATCAGAAATCATTATAGGGGAACTTTGGTTGGACAGTTAAATCGCTGAAAGATTGTTTTAAATTAGAATTCAATAATAAAGGTTGTGGCAGATATAAAAGTGCGGCATCTAGTGTTATAATGTTTTATAAATCTTTGCTAAAATAGAGAACACTTTTAAGGGTACTTTTGCATAGTAATTTCCCCTTTATAAAGTATCTAATTTTTCTCTTCATATTTCTAAAACCCATGGAAGGGCATTCCGTTGTCGACTCCCCATCACATTATGCATTTCTGTGCGATTGCAATGTAGTATCATACCTACCTACCTATCACCTTATTGATCAATAACAAATTGTCGCAACGAAAATCAGAGCAATATTTATGAAATATTTACGACACACGTCGTAATCATTGGCAACTCATCGCCTGTCATATATTTTTTGAACTTCTCACAAGTAGACGAAAATTGGGCATTGTAAATCTATAATAAAGATATCCAAAAACCCAACAACCTACCAACCAGCCAGCCAGACAGTACGCCAAATAAAAGGAAAGCCACTCATGGTCTCTATGGTCTTCAAACTCTTGTATCTGCCAGATACAAACCTACACACACACACATAGATAGATAGGGTGGCAGAGTGGTGGGAGGCTTGTGTAGATAGTCACCGCACACGCGTTATGATTTACGATCCTGAGGTAAATACATAACGACATCTAAACATGTCAATATCCTCTCCTGAGGCCAGTTGTAAAATCGAAAGAGTAAAAGTATCATAAAGTAAGCGAAGCGACCGATAAGTACACAAAGCCAAAGGCACAAACCACAAGACAAACCTTCCGCATAGTTTCATGCAACATTAAGAAAATACGAGTATAACCGCCACAAGTCGAGTCCAGCTACAATTTTTGTTTTTCTTTTAATATTTATGACCTTGTTTCCATTCCGAGGTTCTATTCGGTGTTCGGTTTATCATCGCTTGCAATGTTTGACAAAGAAAAATCGATTTCCAGTGTGAAAGAAGCGAGGCGAACCCTTGCATTTGGTCACGTTCGCTGTTTGAATATTGAAAGTAGGATTTGCTCTGCCCAGATTCTATCGACTCCCCTCTCTCTCTTTCTCTCACGGAAACTACGATTTTCGATATCAAATATTTCGTACTGTCATAAAAGCTACCAGTAGATATCGGGCTTATAGTAATCATAAAACCCCAACCACAAAACGCAGAGGAAACTGCACATGCGATATCAGCAGTAAGTATTCGTATGACACAATGAAATCGAGTTTGATCCCCAAACCAAAACCAACATCCGAATCAAAAGAATTGATTAATTCGCGTTGAGGTAAAAGTTATTTATAAATCAGATTTTTCCATTACTGGCATGCAAAAAGCTAAGGTTGGTAGCCATAGCTATAATGCCAATTATTAGATAACGAATTTATTACTTGACATGTTCCATCAATTTAAATAATCTATAATTAATTCAAGCCATTTTATTGCATTATAATATTATGTCTATATATTTTATTATTTATGCCATACCCTGCCGAAACGTACTGTATATTATTCTGCACAAAATCACAAAATTCGCACGAAATTCTTTACCCGAGCAAAGTTTGAGCGCAGGAAATAAATAAATAAATTCGGAAATCGAAACTAACAACAACAAAAACTGACAAGACCACCAATTAAATTTCATGAGCGGAAAAAAGGTAAAAATTGTAGTTAAAAGTTTAGATAGCCTTCTGATTTATGGCCCCAGCGATAAGCAAGCGGTGGGAAAGGGGAAGGCTGGCATGTGGGAAGAGTTAAGTGATTGGGTACAGAGGAGGGAGGTAGGGCGCTGCGGGGTCTAGACTATAGCCCATTCGATTGATTTGCAGTGTAAAAATAAATAATGTAATTGCAATTGCGATATGTGTAAGGTTTCATCAAAGGAGAGCCACCGCAGGCCGACTGATAGACTGATAAAACGATTGACAATTGTTCCACCATTCAATGGCTCAATTTCTCAATCGCTCAATCCTTCCTGGGGTTTTCGCTGGGAACTGCCAACTGTGAGCTGGTGGTGAGTGGTGTTTGGATACTCAATCCCCATCTAATGCCACTCAACGAGTTGAGCTTATGCCAGGCTAAAGAGCTATGTGCTCTTATCGACATCAACGATAGGGGGAATGGGCAATGACATAGGTATTCGTACATATGAATAGGGAATGGAAATCGATTGAAATTAAATCCTAAATCGAAATCCAAACTGAAATCCAAAATCGAAATCGAACGAAATCTCAACGTATCCGTAAATCATGAGCTCACACACTCATTCCACATTCTGGCACTGGCAACGAAACGGCAGACCAGAGACCTGTACAGACCAAATCATGGCCTAATCTATCCAACCGTTCACAGTTTATGGTACCCTCTCTGGTCATATCGCGTCGTCCGTGGGCCCTGCCCTCCGCTGCCCTGCTGCTCTGGCTCTATATTATTATTTATATTGCACTGTTTTCTTTCATATTTTTATTTGTCGCATTGCCACTTTCATATTTGCCGAAAGCTGAATTTGTTTTTATATTATTATGGCCCCAGGCAGGCCGGTCTCCGACTACTGTTGCCTTCCAGCCGGTTACCAGCGCTCCCGCTCCCGCTCCCGTTACCGATACCCTACTTTCTGATCCGATAATTTCTTCTGGCAAACTCAATTACCTGCAAAATATTATACAAACTTTGTACCCGCTCGTGTGGCGCCTAAATCAACTGATTTCGCACTCGAAAGTTGTAAAATCTTAAAAAAGAAACCCAAATGAGCTACGTTTCCAATGGCATGTCCGACCAAAAAATTGATTGATTTATTATTTTTAAAGAGCATTAGAAGCTGCAGATTTTGGGTACTTTTGGCCACGATTTCTATGAAACATCTTAACTGTTTAGAATCATTTCTAGATTATGTCAGTACTTGCAATGTCATCCAGACAATGACTTATGAATTTTTAAGTCTATTTAGAATGAAGTGCATCACCATAGACAACTCAATTATTAAAATCCAAGCTATTAGGAAATCCAAATTCTAGTAGAACAAAAGCCACACAAAGAATTCATATATAAACCTCCCACAAAAACCTTTGATAAATTTCCAATAAAAACTCCCATAAAGTTGTAAAACATATTACAATAATTAACACCTATGTGGCAGCCCGAACCCCAAGCCCTTTCAGAAATCGTTAACCCCAAACCAAACAGTAATGGCTGCAAATCGCCCCAAAACAATAATAATCCAGGCCTGACAATGGGCCACAGCAGCCATCCTCTTCCACAGATACAAAACAGACAGGCAAGAGGGGTGAAGAAGAGGGGTCAGGATAACAATGATTTCAATTACCATGCAGTGTCGAATAATTATTTTACCTTCTTCTTTTTTTGTTGTGTGCCGTTGTTGTTTGTGAACAAGTGCGTGGAGTGCGTGAATATTGCTCCCGGGCGAATAAAAACAGATGAACATCGGACGCACCCACAGACGCCAGAGGAGGGAAAGAAGAGGATTTGCTTTTGCTTTGGGTGAGGAGGAGGGGAGGACGACGGCTATGTCTAATGTGCACAAATTTATGACTTTACTGCCCGGCCGTTGAGGGGTCGTTGAAGCAGGAGCTGCTGCGGCAGGATGAGTACCCAGCACTGTGCCACTTTCACTGCCACTTTGTCAGCTTCCAGCGTTCATCCCTGGAGCGGCATCGGGCACATGCTTATGCTCATTATTATCATTTAAACAAGTCGGCTCGGCTCTACGTGAGCCACCCAGGGGCCACCCAAGAGCCACTCTTGTCCTCTTGTCTTGGGGTTGGCTTTCGTCCTGCTAGTTTTTCGTCGCCAGTTGCCAGTCGACAATTTTCCAAACGTTAAACGTTTCCAATTTTATTTGTCGACCTAAGCTTCCGAACCGAACCCCCCTTATGCCATCATCTTTCCTCCCCCACACACATTTGCAGGTTCTGTTCGTGTGGGCACGTTTACGGTTACGGTTACGGGTACGGGTTTTGGCGATTCGTATATTCAATTCGTATTCGTTTTAATGGGAAAATGCTCTCGGTACGATTGTGTGGATAATTAGAATAAAAAGGGTTGGACTGGTAATGGTGGGGCACAGCAAATGGATATTTGCCGTAATGTCAATGATTAAAATTTAGATTCTAAGAGGGTGACACAAGAGATTTGTTTATTGGTAAAAATAATAGCAAATATTGACAATTTATTAATAATTTATTAAACTTATAGTTGAGAAATTGCAAGAGATGTTTGTCGGCTAAACAATTCAAAGGAAGTGTATAATATTCAGTAAAATGAAGTCATACTTTATATTTAGTATAAAATGCACCCATCCGCACCCCTTTTCGCTTTAAAAACCTCCAAAAATCGTTCGTGTCTCTCTTTATTCTCTCTCCCCTTATAATATTTCGGAGGATATTTTCCTTGATCTGCTTTGCTGTATCCAGCAGTTGCTTAAATTGTGGCTTATGTTAGATTTCCATATTGAAAAGCACTTAAAACCAAGAACCAAAACCACAACAGCAGAAGGGCAATAAAAACACTTGACACTGTGGCACGAAAGAATGAAGCAGCCAGAGCACTACCCTCCCTCCCCGCACTCCCCTTATGTATCTGTGTATCTGATGGATACAAAGAGATTCCTTCCCATTCAACTAAAATGCGCTCATTTCGCATATTCTTTCTTGTGCGTGTGGCATTTGGTTTTTGTTTATATTTATTTGGCTTTGCGTTTTGCCGCCTGACCGACTTTTACTTTTTCTGGAATCAAAGTCCCGCCCCTGCATTTACCTCCCGCTATATGTATGTGGAATACCTCCAAGACTACGGCTCATCCCCCTCATCAAGGGGTCTTTGCTCCGTTACTTTTATCTCCGTGGCGAATTAGAATGTTGTCAAATTGTTATTCTTTTGTAGCGATGCGGATTCATTCATTCATTCATTCGACTCGCCTCAGGCCTCAGGCATCCGTTCTCTGTCCTCCATCCCCCAGCCTCGTGTCGCGGTTTGTACTTGCTTCTCCGAGCGGTACCGTACCCCTTTCGCGACACACAGTATAAGGCCTGCGCCTGCGTCAATTCCATCCTCAGCGAAATGTCGCCAGGCAGTTCGTGCCCTGTTTTTGCGTGTGTGTGTTTTCTGTTTTGTCATGCTCCATTTAGCCGAGTGTGCACCGAACAGATGTTCTATTTAAACGCACATTATTATTATTTCATTTCGACAGGCGATACGATAGACTCGACTCGACTCTTCCACGTCTTCTTTAGCGCTGGCTGTTTGTGAGTTGTTGTGTGCACCACACAAAAGAGATGGCTTTGAAATGAATGTGGATATACAAATAAAATGTGGATAGATTATAGTTATTATTGGACACATATTTATACACGGAAAATCTCAACTTTTGATTTGATTTATGGCTACAGTTCACTCTTTTTCACTTTCATATTCGTATGTCCTTTTTTTCTGCCTCTTGCTCCGTTCGCTTGCGACGTTTTTGTCGGGTGGCTGCTCTGGTCCAGGGCGTGCCATCGTCAACCCTGAGCGCCGGCGCCGGCGCCGTGTCCGTCCGGTCGTCCTACCGATGCCCAATATCTCGGGGTGACGATGCCGAATGATGATGCGTTGATGTCAAATGCGGGACGAAGGAAAAGACGAGGAGTGGGGTGGCGGAATGGGAATGGGAATAGGCTTGGCAGGATACGTTGATTAGGGTGAATTAATGGTCATGTAAGGTGGATTAGGCGATTGAATACGAAAATAATTACATTTGAAATTCGATACGCTTTGTATAGCACGATGTGTGTTTTTGTTTGTGTTAGAGAGGAGATACAGGTGGATTTTCCTACCCTGTCTTCTTCTTCATGGGTGTGCATGATTGATGATTGATGTGCCACGCGCCTCGCTCTGATTTTCACTAAACGTTTGCTTTCGCTTTCTCTCTCTTTCTCTGTAGATGCCTCTCTCGCCTTTAGCATAAGCAGATTGGTCAAGACTGAACACCTGACGGCGATGGCAGCCGCCGCCGCAGCGGGACTGAAGCCCCCAACGCCTTTGGAGGACAACAACAACTCAATTTCGATGCTGAGCAAAAACCAACATCATCATCATCAGCCCCAGCAACAGCAGCTCCAGCAACAGCAGCATCTTCCCCAGCATCAGCATCAGATACTGCAGCGATCCAAGCCCACATTCCTCAGTGCCAGCGAACAGTTGCGCCAGTCCCGCTCCCGTTCCCGCTCTAGATCGAGGACGCCGTCACACAGCTCCTCGCAAATTGACATGGAGGATGCGGACTCGCACCACTCGCATCGCTCGCTGCATTCCCGCTCTCGCTCGCCCAGATCCCGCTCGCGCTCCCACTCCCGGTCACGCTCCCACTCGAGCAGCTCCTCTGTCGAACTGGAGGTGGACTCACCGCCGGGCAGTCCCAGCATCAGCTCTCCGAGTGCCGCCTCCGCCTCCGAGCTGCTGATCACGGCCAACAGCAGCACCAGCAGCATCATCTCCAAAAAGTCGGATCTCTTTTCGGTCTCCGCCCTGCTGCGGCGGGACGAGCCACACCAGAGACGCGCCCGCAGTCCCCAACTCGGCCATCTGGCCAGCTCTGCCTCGGCCCTGGCCATGCCCTTCAACCCATTGGAGGCCATGCGGCAAGGCTATCCTCCCAACTATGAGGCAGCCATGTTCCAACGCCCACTCTTCTCGCCCGCTCTGCCCTTTTTTGCAGCCGTTGCCTTCCACCAAGGCCAACAGCAGCAGCAGCAACAACAACAGCAACAGTCTGGACTGGGAGCAGGGTAAGTTGGGTGAGGAATAACATGTATGGGAAGACTATGTTTTGATCTATTAGTGAAGAGAAATACTCGTACCAAGAGGGAGTAAGGAAGGGAGAGCTACAGAGCACAGAAAATAGTTTGTTTTTAAATTTTTCATTTGTTTGAAACATTCCTTCTCGTTAGTAGTAGTTTCTGCAGTATTTACGGTAATCGCAAGCTTTACTTTAATCCTTCACACTTTTCATATTATGTAGATTTTTTCCTTCTTATTACTGCCATTAAATTAGTTAGTCAAAGACACAGACACAGACAGAGAGTGGAAGGGAGTGGTCAGTCGGGCGCTAGTCCTATTCTTAATTAACTCGCCTCAATTAAATGTGTTTTTGCCATTTCCCATTTGCAGCTACCATCCGGACTCGCAGGAAAATCTCTTCCGTTTGCGGAGTCTCATGGTGCCGCTGCAGTCCGCCGGACAGAACAACTCCACAGCAGCGGCTGCGGCAGCGGCAGCAGCAGCGGCAGCCGTCGGTGTGGGTGTGCCCCCAAATGGAGGACACTTGGGTCTGCCGCACGCGCCACATCTGCATTTCCATCACATGGCGGCCAAGTGGCCGGGCCTGCACCAATTCAGCGACCTGTACTCGTGCATGAAGTGCGAGAAAATGTTCTCCACGCCGCACGGCCTCGAGGTGCACTCCCGCCGGACCCATCATGGCAAGAAGCCCTATGCCTGTGAGCTGTGCAACAAGACCTTCGGCCATGAGGTTAGCCTCAGTCAGCACAGGTATGTGAGAGTGGCATTTGGCCACAAAAAGCCACCAGCTGTAGGATAGGTGGGGGGCAGGGCAAGGGGACAGGGGATCTGCATACCTAATGAGTGGACTCTGTCTGGGTCCGAAATGGACTCCTGCTGTCCTGGGACACTTTGCATTACTTAATTTAGCCGAAATGGCTGGATTTTAGCCTGACCAAATGTTTGCCTTTGTGGCAGTAGTTAAAACAGAATCCCCAACCCCGCTGCCTGCACCTTGCTTGGGGAATTGGTATGGAGTTTGGCTTTAATTACAGCAAACGCTCGTTAACGTGAATCTCTCTCCTTCTCCCTTCTTTTGCTGTTTCCTCAGGGCGGTGCACAATGTGGAAAAGGTGTTCGAGTGCAAACAGTGTGGCAAACGCTTCAAGCGTTCCAGCACACTGTCCACACATCTGCTCATCCACAGCGACACGCGGCCTTATCCCTGCAGCTACTGCGGCAAGCGATTTCACCAGAAGAGTGATATGAAGAAGCACACCTACATACACACAGGTAAGCCATGAGATATTCTCTATAAATATAAATGCAAATAACACTACAATCGGTGGACTCTTCTTGTGATTGTGCTGATCGTGAATACATATATACACTGAATGGGATTAAATACCTTCCTCTTGCGCCTTGAAAACATGAACAAAAAATCGTTGGCATAAATAAATCTATTCCTGTTCCCTTAGAAACATTTTTGAAATTCAGATTTCTGCACTTAATAGATTTTTGATGGCTCAGCGTACATTCTCCATGTATGGTGCGAGACTTAAGAAAGAACTTTAAAGTATCTGCCCATAAAGACAAGCCCAGTAAATGGGGGGAAAATTACCAGAAATGGGGGCACTATCGAGGACAGGAAGCGTAGCCATTAAAGCGTTTGGCAAACCACCACCAAAAGCCGCATTCAGTCGCCAGTTCACCAGTTCCAATTACAGTTGCCATCGCCACCCATCGTAGAGCCAAAACCATCGCCAGAATCAGCAGATAGAAAAGATACCGTGAGGGGGAGAGACGTGAAAAAAAAAGAAAAATGGAGCAGACAAAAGAGCTTTTACTCTCTCTCAGATTGAAAGGAAAAGAGAGCCAGAGAGATAAAGAGAGAGAACGAACACAGAGAGAAACAGAACTATAAAATCAGTGAGCGGGAGAGAGGCGTGGTGCTGATAAGAGGATGAAAGTTAGGAAAGCAAGCGGGACGGACGGGTGGACAGACTGCTATGTACAAGACTCCACTCTGGGCGAGCGAGAGACTGGAAGGTCTGCACACACAGATACAACAAACGAACGCCTCAGTGAGTGAGCGAGTGAGTGAGTGAGTGAGAGTGAGAGGCAGCAACAACGGACAGAGAAATCACAGCCGACCAATGAAAAATTTAGTCAAGAGATTTTGATTTTCTGTTTTATACGCGCGCACACACACGAATAACAAATACGAGACACACACACTAACACACTCACACATATGCATACAAATTGTGCTGCTGTATAGGTGGCTCATGTACACACCCTTACGCAGGCTGGCCTCCGCCATTACGAACCGAAACTGAAACACGGCTAAAAGGGAAACGGTGAAACATGGAACGGGGAACGAGGAACGGGTAGAAGGTTACAGTGGTGCGGCTGTGGGTGCGGCTGAGGTAGAGGCTAGAGGTAGGGGCAGGGGCAGGGCATTAGCATCGATTTCAAGTTCTTGATGTCTACGTGAAAATTTCTAATCTCAAATGCGATTTATTTTGCTTTTTGCTGACATACCCAAAAAAGTGTTTTTCGCTTCAAGTTTAAGTTTGCCGAAAGATACCACGATTTATTTTTCTGAGGAAATTTGAAATTAAAATTAAATAAAATACCAAAAGTACAAACTGAATGTTTTGTAAAACTTTCTATGATTTCTCATAATTGAAAATATGACTAATTTTATACTCTTTTGGAAAGGTTTTCTACCAAACACCATCTTCTGTTATGTCTTAGTGATTGCACAATGAATAAGGTCTCACAATTTGCCAAATATTTGTCGTAAAGTATATCTTCATGGCAAAGAGGTTTATTTTTGTTCAGTTCCACATGATTTCATTTTCTCAGCTACCATAATAAGCATCTTTATTAATTCATCAGATTTCCCTTCTATATACGCAGTCTGGATCATTAGGCATAAAAAGCGTAAATTCCTGTTGCCTTCAAATCAGTTTACAAATGGCAAGGATAATAACCTCTAATAAGCAAGAGTTCCCTCCACTCGAGCTCCTCCCACATGGCAGATGTCTGGCAAAATCAGTGAAAGAGAAATCTGCGCACACACACATACACACACACACTCGTACATACAGAGCGAGAAATGCAGAGAAAAGAGAGAAATATTCCAGACATTTTTATCGTTTTGCCGTCTTCGATTTAGAACGTGTGCCTACCCAGACGCGACCCCAACCCAACCCAACCCAACCCAACCGTCCTCCCGCTGACAGCAGTCCGCACATGTGGCGATGCTCAGCTTAAACATTTCAAGATTTCCCATTTCCCATTCAACTGTTTTGGTTTGTTCCGTTTCCATTTCCTGCTCTGCTAAATTCCTTTTTCTTCTTTACGACTTATCCTTAATTTTCCTTCCTTTCTTCGCTTTCTCTTCTCCTCTCTCCGTTTGAGACGTGTTTCCATTCCGGACAGCAGATTTTTCCTCCTTTCATATGATGTGATTTTTCTGAACCAATTCCTTGATTTTTTTTCCATTCAGTTCAAGTTGCTTTCTTCAATTTCGTATATTTACTTTTTGGCCAAATGTTTTTATATCTTTCTCCTTGTGTGTTTTGCTTCCATTTTCCTCTTGCTCTTGTTCTATAGTAAGTGTTGTTGCTGTTGCGCTTTTATTTCCCTGCCTCAGATTTTTCCGTTTCCCCAAAATTTATGCGCCATAAAACGGGGAGAAAGTGGAAACACAATACGTTGCTTCTTTTTGGGATTTTTTACTTATTCATGACTTTTGTTGTTCCATTTGAAAATTCAATCTTATTGTGGCAAAGGTGAAATGGTGTCGTTTTTTCTCTTCTTTGGTTGAAACAAATCGATAAATTAAAAAGGTGGGAAAGGTTAAATGAAAAGTTCTTAAAGGTTAAAACGTACACTTAAATCCAGAGCGAACTATTCCATTTTTTCTAACTGTTCAGTAGGTTGAACATTTTAGGTATAAATTCAAGACTTTATTTTCGTAAGGAACGCGACTAAATTATCTATGGCCTACATATTTCACATGGCATGAACGCAAAAATGCTTTGAATACAATCTAGATTGATTACAGCTATCAATCTGTAACTATAAAGCTACATTAAGTAATAAATATTATCTGAAAATAAAAACAAGAAAATTTCCAAAGACTCCCAAAATTGTCTTTCACCCTCTTCACAATTAACTCTTAAATTTCAATCAACACTCAAAGTATCCCCCTGCCCACCATTCTATGCTTTTCACAAATCAAATCCAAAAACCCCAAATCCGTTTTCCCTCTGTTTCGCAGACGGTCCACATGGCGTATGCGTGATTTGATGTCCACTGAAATATGTTGGAACGTGTTGAATTAGAAAATAGGATGCCAGGGGAGAAGCAGTAGAGTGGAAAGTGAAAAGTGGAGTGCAGCAGAAGTAAAGCATAAAATATTAGAAGACTAAGAGGAAAGCCATTCGGACGGGGGCCACGCCAAGATTTAAAAGTATTTCTTCGAGTATCTCCCACAATGTGATGCAATAAAAATCCTTGAAAAAGCAAACGAGCAAAGAAACTTTCTATACATAAGCTGCCCCAATGGTTCCAACTACTCCAGACTCTAGTATTTGGCCCCCGTAAAAGTTTTTTGCTTTGGAAACTGCCGACGGCCGACGGGATTTTTGCTATTTTCCCTACTTCCCCTGAGGGTTTGGGGTCTCTCGTTAGTGTTCGTTGCTAAAGCCGTGATAAATAATAAAAGCTGCTCTATAATCTCTGCGACTACGTGACGTTATTTGTGCCGATAGTGCACGAACGTGCCCCGAGCAGCAAAAGCAGCAGCACCACCCGAGAGCCAGCCTCGAACCCCAAGGAGCAGAACCCCAAGAACCCTTCAGCATCAGCGTCAGGCATGGGTTTGTGTCTGTGCCAGAGACAGAGTCATGCTCTCGTTGAGGCCAACTGAGAGCCAACTTTCGCCTGACTACTCAATTTTACTGTTGCTCCCTCCCCCATGACCCCCATCCACTCACCAATCCCTCCGCCAGATTCTTAAGCAGAAGAGGAAGAGATTCTCATGCCGCGGGAGCTAAAAGTTGAATCAGAGCACATCCCTACGGTCGAATGTTTCACAATCACGTCGCTGCAATTCCATTATATACAACGAAGCGAAGCAGCCGCAGCCGCTGCCGTTGCCGTTCCTTCCGTTTCGGTGGTTGTACACAGTTCTCTCGTCCATCTCTCTCTCTCTCTCTCTCTCTCTCTCTCTCTCTCTCTCTCTTTCTTCTCTGCTCTGCTCTTTTGCTATACATATCCCTCGGAGAGTAAATGTGTGTTCTGTTTACATATTTTATATACTCACTGTAGGGAGCCCAGCATCAGAACCAGAGTCAGGTTCTCTCCTCAAGTTAGCATGTTGTCGTCGTTATTTTGTTTCCATCACCCTCAATCTGTATCACTGTATATAAGTTATACATATACCCATGTATGTATGCATGGTATATAAAACGTAACCCAACCTATGCCACTATCTCCCATAGATAAGCAACAAAAAGAAATATTTGTATGCGATGTAGTACATTCCGCTACCATTGCAACTACCAGCAAAAGTTTTGTGGTGCCACAAATAAATATAATCAAAGTTTTCCTATAGAAGGGGTGTGCCAATGGATTTAGTTCTGGGTAGAACCAAGACCTGTTTCAATGATAAATGATTTATTAGAGAGAAAGTCTGTTAATAGATACTGCCTAAAGCAGCAGAGGGAATATGAAGATTCAGTAAGAAAGAAGTACTATACACTTTGATTTCCAAGTGGATCTGTGAAGATCATAAACCAAAAAGATGAAACCTCGAAATTATAGGAATATTCCTTAAAAGAAGCGCAATATTTTACGGAATATAACAGAAAATCAAACAGACATTACTTCCCTTCTCTCAATAAACCTTTTGTCCAAGGTTATATTAAACCAAATGATCTGCCTGTAACTTAGCACTTAAAATATTCCCTTTAATTTCTGAGATTTGATTACAAAGACCGCAAGGTTGATGGCTTTTCTGGCGCCCCAACAAAATTCATTCATTTCGAACTGTGGTTTTTTTTCCCCCAAATCTCTAATGAAAAATTTAACAGAATGAGAATGTGCAATAAATGGAAAATAAAGCTGAAACAAGGGAGGGGGATTACGAGACAGGAAGGAAAAGAAAAAATGCGAAGAAAATTACTTTAAAACTGTTGTCAGAGGCAGTGGGAAATATTCGGTTGTTTAAGTGCCGGAGACCGGAGTGCCGTAACCACAGAACATCACACAGATGAACCAACAAAAAAAAGAAGTTGAAATTTAAAAAGGACTCGAGGACTCTTCTGCCACATTTCCTTACCCCAGATGAGTCTGTTGAGGATGGAGCATGCAGTAGGGGGATGTTGAATGGAGCGTCCTGTGGTCTGCGGAGATGACTTACATGTTCCCTTCTTGTTGCCGGGTGATGGGTCTGGAAATGCTTTCTGTCTGGCAACGATTCGCTTTTTTGGGGGATGCCACAAGAAGAGTCGAAGAGTCGGAACTTTTACATGTGTGTGTGTGGGGGTGTGTGGGTGGTGGATGCGGCCATGAAAGCAGAAAAGATACTTAAAATGGCGCACACTGGTTGAATATTTTGCCAATACACATTTGTGGACTTTTGGGATACTTTATCGAAATAAACATACTCCGATATGCTATACTTTACTCTAATTCCAACTATTTTTCCTTTCCTTATTGCAGGTGAGAAACCGCACAAGTGCCAGGTGTGTGGCAAGGCGTTTAGCCAGAGCTCGAACCTGATAACGCACTCCCGCAAGCACACCGGCTACAAGCCCTTCTCCTGCAAGCTCTGCCACAAGTCCTTCCAGCGCAAGGTGGACCTGAGACGGCACAAGGAGACCCAGCACACCGATCTGCGTGTCCATCTCGGCAAGGTGGACTTCATGTCAGCAGCAGCGGCGGCAGCAGCAGCCTCTGCCGAACTGGCAGCCGGTGTGGGTGTGGGTGTGGGAGTGGGTGGCCAGCAGGCGGGTCCATCACCAGCGAATCAGGGTCCCAATGCGGTCACATCCGGCCCGACAGCAGCGGGAGGACCACAGATGGGGTCGCTCAACTGTCAGAAGGTGTCGCTGCTGGTATAACATCAGCAGCAGCAGCAGCAGCAGCAGCAGCAGCAGCAAGGGGCAGGCCAAATCCAAATCCAAATCAACCGCAATCATTGTGCAATAGATGGAAGTGAATATAATCATCGTCAGGCGTTTTCCTTTGCCGTTTCGCATTGAGAAATGTTTGAGAAGTACACCGAAAACCAAAAAAGATAAACTAATTGAAATAGTTTTAAGCAAAAGACAGTTAACCAATATTTCCCATGTTGCCAAAAAGAAAAGAATAGAAAAACTAACACAAAATAATACCAAAGAAAATCCAAGAAAAAGCTAATACAATTAAAGACTATGGTCACACCTCCAATTCTCATTAAAAACTAACATAGATATTGCCATATAAATAGCTCTCTCTTAACTCTCTCGTCTTCAAAAGCAACCCAAGAACTACGAGTACATATTCCAATAACAAACAAAAACTAAACTAAAAGAATTTTCAATGTTTTTTCTTGATGTATGTGAGATTTCTGTGGGATAAATGGGATTTCCAATCAAATGAAAATCAAAATATAATTAAAAACCATAAATACATCACTATGTTGTACGTGTCGTACTTTGTAAAATGTAAAACAAATAAACAAAAATAATATTACTTAAATAATAAATAAAAACCAAAAGAATGTTCCAAGTTTTCGCTTCTAGATAGTTGTGAAATTTTAAACAAAAATCGCTGTAACTATTTTGATATTATATCATTCCAATGAATTTAGTCTAATTAATAAATTTTTTAACTTATTTATGCATATAATACGTGTATGTATGTAAAAACAAAATGCTAAATAAATATATATTATACATATATATTTTCATTTTAATGTTCAACAACAAATAATATATGTAATATTATTATAATAAAATATGAATGAAAAAAACTAATCTAAATTCTAAGTATTTTTATGTTTTCAAAATAAATTAAATTTATTAAGCAAATTCTGGAGGATTTTTTGATTATAAAAGGGGGTAATGGGGTTTACTTTCCACTCTTAATAAGAGGATGTCCTAAAATCATTGAAATATTCCTCATTTGTTAATTCAAGAAGACGCCTTTCAATCGTCTAAATCGATATAGATATTCTGACATTTTGGTATATAAATATATAATTCGATTGCTGACTCGAACCCTTTTCTTCATTCACAAGTCAAACAGTAAAAGGACACATGTCCAATGGATAACCCTGAACGTCAACACAAATGGAAAGTTATTAAAAAATCATACATTCAAATACCGCCACCAGAATAACACACATATGAATATTCATGTCAATTCCAATGATTAACTCATGAGTGGGGAATGAATGTGAATTCTGTTTGCTATTCCCCAAAGTGTCCGGCCGCAGATATCAGATATCACGTAGCAGACTGGAACAAGGGTTATCTTATCCTGTCTGATCCCACTCTATACAATCAAATCCTTCGCTGCCGATTTCCATCTTCATCTTGGAGTCGCGTTCTGTGCAAAAAAATTTGACAATAAAAAATATATAAATTGCAAACGCTCATCCCAGGGAGCATACGCTCGCACACTCCTCCTCCTTTGGTCTACGAGTATTCCCCAGTCTGCAATTTGCACAGCGGCAGCTTGTCTACTTTGCAAATGGAGTCTGCTTGCTGTTGTAGCCAAACCAATTTCATCAATAAAAAATATGCATACGAGTACGTGTATAAAAAGGCAACACTCACCTTGCCTTCGTTCCTCCTCCTTTTCCATATGACAATTTGGCCTTTCTCCGACTATAGATAAATGAAAAGCTGGAATATTCGCACGTGAGCAAACGTCTAGTTTGTTGTGGAAGCGATGGAATATAAAAGGAAATGGCTAAGTGAATGTCTTTATGGAAAGTATGAAAATAACTTCAAAAATATAACATTTGACTTGTTTCTGTCTGCATCTTTAGCGTACTTGGATGCACGATTGAAATATAACTACTAGATCCACTAGAAGAAGGACTTTCAAGCATGGCAACGAGAGTTAAACACTGTCCACTCAAAGACTATATTTGCATGCCTTATGTGTACGAGGATGTACTGGAATATATATTTTTAAATCCTTTTTTACTTTTAAATTGCAAGGGAGAAAATTCTCTATTCAGTTGCCCTTCTCTTGCCCTCAGTATTTTCCCCTATGCCAAGCCCTTTGGCTTTGTTCCAATCTGAACAAAAGTATCCATAGTTTATCCTCATATTTCAGCACCCTTGTCCAGCGTCTTTTCTTCCCACGATTAGCTAGTTCCCCCCTTAATAACATTGCTGATTGTATCACTTAGCACATTTTCCACTCAGACTTGTCCAGTGGCAGCAATTACACACAGTGGCAATAAAAATTAATAGAAACTTGACATTCCGCTTTGGAATGGAATGGGGCGTGGGGAGGGAAAAAGTCGTATGTTAATTTATGCAATGATCGATAACATCCTGCGATTTAATCAACAAACGCGTTTGCCGCCCCCAACAAAAGCAGAGTCGAAGCCCAAGAGCAAGATCACGAGACCCCCAGAGAGCGAGTCGTTGACCGAGGCTTAGGTGATCGTAAACCATTGATCAATCAATCTTAAACGATCAGAGAAACGGTCACAAAATCAGCAACTTCCGTCGACAAACTCGGGCCACCGGGGCACGAGTTGAGCGAGTGGATTCGACTACATGGAGGGACTCAGATATCTTTATACATACAAGATTATTGATTGAACGAATATTTTTATGATTGCATAAAACAAAAAGCAGAAGTTATGGAGTCAGAATGCGGGTTCTTTGAACGAATTAAACGCAATTAGCTGAAGGTACACCCGAACCTAGATGATTGTAGGGAGAGGGTCGGTCTGGTTCTTAGGCACCCGAAACCCGCCACAGGATCGCTTCGTTTGGATTTTTAAAGATCATCGTACATCGTACAACATCTGCGTGCCATTGAATTGACTCAAGGCGTTCTTAATGCGAATTTATTGCCGCCATCATTATGGCTCTGAGACATGAAAATCATTTCTGGGCGATGACTAAAGACTTTTCAACAGATCTCTCTCTGTGGCACCCCATTAACGTACACCCCTTTATGTACATACATCCAAATTCTGCTGGCCTTTGTGGGATAAGACAATGGAATCTTAATTATACTTAATTTGCGGTAAATGTTTCATTAAATATCCCAAAAAAGAAAACTATCACCCAAGGTGGGAACTAAAAAGGGTTGGGATGGGGGCTTACAATCTGCTTCAAAAATTGTCATGAAATCTCTTGGAAGATGACTAGAAAATTGATATTTGGAGTACAGATATTCAGACTCTATTCAGACTTGAGTTTGGATTATCTTAAATGGAAGCGAAAGTTCCTTACATTTTCACAGTCCGAAAAGAGCCTTAATCGAATTGACTTGAATCCCATGTTGAACCCCATCATAGTCGATAATACACTCGGCCTTTTAGTGTCTGTCTCAGCTGGTCAGCACGAAGCATGGTTGTGGCATATTCCCGCCTCCACCAACAACCCCCTCGGACACTTAATGGGAATTGCATTTTTATTACACAAACAGACGACGAAATGTTTATTAATGGCCCAAACACACAAGGCCATCATCCGAATCAGCCTCAGCCTCAGAATCAGCCTCATCCTCAGTGCCATATCCATGACAATCGGCAGCCAAAATGCAGTTAAATTGATTTCGATTCTCAGAGTCCCGTTACTGCAACTGTGACTAAGTATTGCTCGTATGGATCTATGTGTAACTGCAAATGTTTGTGTTGCACTGGCAGGAGGGTAAGGCACCTGCTGACAATTTCAAGTGCAGACCAACAACAGGAACAACTGGAGTGATTTGTGAAGAATCCTCCCCTGACTGTGTCTCCCAGAAGGAAAACCGCAATTGTAATTCACGGATGCGCCAGGGCAGCTTCCCAAACTAATCGCTCGCACAGCGGGACTGACAGACAGACAGATAGAGAACGGGCCAAGTGTTGGTCTTGGTGGTGGCAATAGCTGATTGCCCTGGTGGTTGTTGCCGCATGTTGCCAATTGAATATATCTCAATTGTTGCAAGGCAAGAGGCAGCAGAGGCAGAGGCTGCGCCTTTGACAAAAGCAAACAAAACGCCTTGTCCAACCCCTCTGTATCCAGCGGAATCGGAATCGGAAATCCCTTTGGACTAATTCAAGTGTAACCCCTTGTTATCCGGCACGCACCCTCCCCTCTCTCTCACTGGGAAAAGCGCAACGCCTGAAAATTGAGCAGTTAAATATTTTGGTGTCATAAGTCGACATTAGGGCGGTTCGGCCACGCTGGAACAAACAGCAACAATAGACAGGCAATGCAGAGGCAGAGGCCTTGCTATATTTGTTTTAAAACCCACAACAGTCCACAGACACAAGTGGCTGCTGCTTGTCCACTAGAACTGTATGATTTGAGGAGATAAATTAAAGGGATTTCGGAGTTTTACAGAGCCAAGAAAAGTGAAGGAAGTTAAGTTTCGTAAATGAAATATTAATTAGAAATTATTTGTAATATTCAAATTAAATTCAAAAATTAAAAATGCATTCAATATTTGTGGCCTTCAAAATCATATTTCCAATTCCTTCTGCCACATTCTGTGGCCAACTGGCAGCCCACAAATGTAATTTGTAATTCTATCCAACCTTGGACTTCGATTACCCATTTCTATGACAAATTGTGGACATTTGTGCTAATAGGAGGGAATCCTCTGGTAGCATAATCGTATTCCCATTTGAAGCTTCATATTTCAGAATGTTTTTGGCAACACTTTCCATTCAATCGCGGATAAATCAAGTGTCAGACTTAAAGGAATACGCGTATTAGAATGGAAGTGATTCCGATTTCAGTTCGGACTCAGATTCAGATTCGTTTGCTCTGATCAGATATACGCTGTGGACTTTTGGCAACGGATGAATGTGATTTATGCCCTTCGTTTTATGTAGAAATGTCAGCAACAATTCCAGGAGCAGAGCACAAATTAACTTCAATGTGAGGGAGGAGGAGGAGTGAGGGAGGCCAGAGCTCATGGGCCTATCCTTGCCGAAAGTCGAGACGTGTTCCGTAATTCAATATCCACACAGCTGAAAGATGCAGTCGAATTGAAGGGGATTCGGGAAGAGCCAGGGGCTCAGAGGTCACATTTGGCAGCCAACTCGGTAAGTATTCCCAGAGGATCCGGATAATTTCCTACCCTTGGCACTAAGTATTATTGTGCATTAGAGGACTAATAAACAGGTTCGCAGTTGTTGTCCTTTGCAC